TCCCCAAGCCTGTAGCATTGCATGGGGTTGTTGTGACCCAAGTGTGCGACCCAGCACTGAGCCTTGTTGAACCTCATACAATTGGCCTCAGCCCATTGATCCAGCCTGTCCACGTCCCTTTGCAGAGCCTTCCTACCCTCCAGATCAATACTCCCACCCAATTTGGTGTCATCTGCACACTTACTGAGGGTGCACTCAATCCCCTCATCCAGATCATCCATAAAGATATTAAACAGAACTGGCCCCAAAGCCGAACCCTGGGGAACACCGCTTGTGACTCTTGTTGCAAAAATAATTATTTTTCTATTTTTTATGGATTTATCTATAGCAAAAAATATTCACAACGGAAACAAGCAGGTTGTTTTGATGGGAATGCTTTTTCAGTGCAAAATAGAGAGTATTTACAGAAGGTGAACTCCCTTCTCAAAAATATGTTTTGTTGAAAATCTGCTGGGAAACAATTTCAGCTGACAATATTTGACTGACCTTAAGAGAGGAATCCTACAGTCCAGATGCAACTTTCTTACACCTGCACTTTATAACACCCCTAGTAGCCCAGTTCCCCCACCTGATTCCTATTTCCTGACATTTCTGACATTACTCGAAGCACGCATGATCCCATTTGAAGCAGGATTAAATGGCATTTTCCCAGCCTCACCTCCACATGCTACTCTGCTTACTTTGGCCAGAAGAGTGTATTTGCTGTGTATTTGCACCCCTTGCCTTCTAAAATGCTTCCTTTGGCAACAAGAGCTGCACACATGTGAAAAGTGTGAAGGTGGGGTTTCAAAAAAAGGGCTTATGGGATTTGGAGTCTGACTCTTAAGGACAGTGATGCTCAGCTGGAGTTCTGAAGCTACTTTATTTCACGCTCACAGAATCGTCATCTCAAAGATCAAAAAAATTTAGAATTTCTCAAAAAAAAAAAATCATCACAAAAACTTTTTCAGAAACAAGCAAACAAAACACAGTACATACTTTAGGCCTGACTCTACAGGCTTCAAAGCCTAAATATGAAAGTGGATCCTGAGTTTCTGGTGGATCTAAATGTAGACCAAGATCCAAGCAGTGGAAAAAAACTCCTGGAGACTGCTGGCTGAAAAATTTCCAATAGAATATTTTCTACTAGAAAAATATAGTTTTAATGAAAATGAAAATGCTGTGCAGGTATATATCAATTTGAATAAATACTTAAACAAAAAAAGTCTAAACGGACCCTCCATTTCTTTTGGTTTGTAACTTGTAATTTGATAAGGCAAAACTTTTCATTTTGATATTGTAAAACATTTTGTTTGGGCTGTTTGTTATTTTTATGTTCTACTAAAAATATTATGGTGTATATTTTCATGTAATGGCTGCTAGGCTTTAAAAAAAGTCCTCAATGAAACGTCTTTATATTTTCAAGCAAGATGATGCAACATCACTGAATTAAAACTTTTGCTATTCCCAAGCCACAACAAAAGGTTTAGAGTTTCCAAAACGTGGGAAACTTGACAATTTCAGCATTTTATTCTGATTTGAAATAGAACCAGCTTTGTTTCCAAAGAATTCCACTACTGTGATTTCAGTGCGATTTCTTCAAATACATTTATTGACATTCATATGAAGCATGTTATGCAACATAAACATTATAGCTCCAGCTCTGCTATGGAAACTTTGTTGACAAGTAAAATTTATCTAGGAAACACACCTGTTTTTTTCCCTGTGTTTTCTTAAATTCTTCACATGCTAGCCAGAACAAAACGTTTTCTTCACTAAATTCTTTCTTTAAAAATTCCTAGAGAAAAGAAAAGCAAACAAACAAACGTTAGGATCCAATTTCTCAATTGTTTTTCTCTCTTCCTGCTATAGCTATTAAAACTAGAAGCTGCCTACACAATGAGTTTACACAACACAGCATAACAGAACCACTGCATTAGTGCATCTGTACACTACCAAAACACAAATGAACAGTCATATATTCAGCACTGTGAAAGCACTTTCCAGGAGAATGATGAACTACATGTAATCTCAGAGCATATCAGTAACTAACAAAAAGAGTTTTTTCAGTCTCCCTTAAATAACTCGAGCAATTTTACAGTCATTACTCAAAGAGAAATCAAAAAATATATGAATTCATTAGCAGGTGACTATAATGAACTACTTTAATGAGAGTCACAGATCACCTGAGATTCTCATCTAGTACCTTTCTGATTTTTTAATAAGTAAAATCTCTACAAATAAAAGTGTTTCTAAACATGACCATCAGTGGCAATAAATTCACTCAAGTAAACTAAAGGAGAAGATGTATATGCATTCTCTAGACAGTGTTTAAACAAAACACATTCCTCCAAAAGTGAGGCATGTTTTAAAATGAGGAAAAAATGTACACTAAATTTCTTTACAAAACATGATGACTGAAATATTTATAGCTCTGTTTTATAGCATCAGTTTTCTCCTTCAAGTGTTAGAAAATAGATTGTAACACCAAGAATTAAATAGCACTAAGATTACTTTTTTTTTAAGAATACTATATCACAGTGCTTTGTAATTCTAGTTTACATCACACTTAAACCAGTCTGGCAGGAAACCATTTTATCCCAGTGCACTTTATCAGTGTTTGGTATGGCAAAACCATACTCAAGTAGGTAGTTCCTATTCCTATAGGTAATACAGCAAGGCAGCCTTGAAAAACTAACTTGCCACCCTCGCCTAGCTGAGCCTCAAGCCTGCATTTTGAGCTGCACAAGCTCACACTGTAGTAAACTTAAGGGGAATTCTTTTTAGCACAGCTGCTGCAACACAGACTAAGAGCCACACAGTTATCAGGCTCAGGAGCTGTTAGTGGTAACTCATTGCTTAAGTAAGGACAACGTATGAGAAAAAGAGTGCAGGATCAGTCCTCGGTGATAAATAATACTTGGCAAGAGAGATCAGTGGCTTAAGGACAGTAGTTTATCCAACAGTAACTGTTAATCCTTTCAACAGCTGATAGATCTGATTAGAAAGATGCAACCAGAAGTATTCCATGTGCCTTATGTGAGCAAGCTGCAGTGGGCAAAAGGCACTACCTCAGAAGCTCAGAAAATGCCACAGCTCCAACACTGCAACCTCTGCTCAGGGTACATATCTAGAAGGATCCATGCCTATGTGCCTACAGCACTGGCACAGCTGCACCATTTACGCTCATTCAGGTTTAAATCTAAATTTTGGTTTATATAAATATCCATAGTTAATATAGCAACCCTAAATCGTTTCACTCCTTCTGGATCTTCGAGGAGATTCTCCAGTGATGTAGCCCATTTTGAGGTTCCTTTCAAGGTTTGGTGACTGCTGCTTGGGTGACTTTCGCTGTCATTTATCTCTGGAAAAAATTGAAAAAAATGCCATCTTCGTTAGAAGCAATGACTGTCACATGCACTTCTTCCCCATTGCCCCTGCACCCTTGAATTACAGCTGCTCTCCTTAAAGGAAACACCATGAAACTGAAAATAAACACACACACACACATACTTGAATTCTGCTTTGCCTGTAAGGAGGCAAAAATGCCTTGCAGTTGGATGATTCGTGAGCATGTAAGTAGGCACTGTCACTGTTTTATAGGAGTTCAACCACTTTTCCATGTAGAACACAATGACCGCAGCCTGTGTAGCAAAAGGACCATTTGCCTTTTATTCTGGCACTGTCAATGACATTGGCTTCTATAAAGCAAATCCTGGTCAGTCACACACGTGAATTTTATTTTTAAGAAAAGAATCACCACCGGAGGTTGGAAAAAGGCAAAGAGAGAAAGAAAAATAACACTTCATTTAGCAGAAGTCAAATATGTTAACCCAGTCTAATGGGAGGAAAGACAGCTGGCAGAGGAGCCTCATTCCAGCTGAGTCAACCTGCAAGTTGTATTTGGGTGTTTTTTCTGTTTGCTTGTTTGTTTTCAAGTCCACTGAAATTCTGCTTTTATAAGGTGCACTGGACTGTGCCCACATCTTATCTACCAGCCAGCCTTCTCAGATAGGATTGATGGTATGCATTTTTGAATTTTTCTATCCCAGGGACGAGTATGTTACATCCAAGGCTGGTGATGCCAAAAAAATGGTTTGCTGGCTACCCATCAAAAAACTTACTACTTGGGAAGACTCCAGGAATTTTACTGATGATCTGAAAAACTCTAAAACAGACCTAAGTACTTGGCCTCCTTTCCTCTCACACACAAAATGCCCAAGGAAGACAGCAGGAGTGCAGGCCGTGAGAAGTCAGGCTAAGAGCTCCATTTCAGGTCACTACACACTGGAAAGGTGCACAAAACTCTTACTGTAATCAATACAGCTTCTATTCATTTTTAAAACTTCCTCATTTCTCTCTACCAACTTATTGGAAATACGGATAACTTCTGCTTAAGCTCTGTTAAAAAACCCTTCCTCCAACCATGAAACTAAACCTCAGCAAGTATCTTAAAAAACTATCTATGCAGCGCTATACTATCAGATGCCCGTTTCAGCTGGTAGCTAGAATGATAAATGCTAAGGTTAAAGCCCTACAAAATATTGGCACAACAGCAAAGCCTACTGTGTTTTGGTTGGTAGGGACCTGCAGAATCTATTTGTTTTTCTAACAGTGAGATGGACCACTGTTTTAAATGAAATTATCTCCCTTCATAGGTGTACTTTCTTTACACAGGAGAAATTACAAAGCTGGAGAAGAGGTAAACTTTCTGGAGCCGTGGATTCCATACCCATTGCCTAATAGTGAGAGATCTACACTCATACCCCAAGTAAATACAGACGTAAAAGAAAGGAACACATCTAAAATGATGGAGCAAATGGTCACTGCAGGCTACATTTTCCACGTGTAAATCCTGTCTCTCCTTTGCCTGTCCTGCTCTCACTCTATGATGCAGTTACAGCACCAATCTGAAATTTCTTACCCAATGAATGCATGACTATGCCTGCACAAAACCTTTCAGGATCCAAGGTCATAACCAATCTGGGTAAGGACTGTGACAGATCCAAAGCAGCAAGCATACCTACAGCTCTATATAAGAAGCATGCAGCCTGCTAGTTAAAGGCCAAGAGTCAGAACCTGAGGATTTTCTCCAAACCACTACTGCAGACTTCATACATGACACAAGAATACAGTGAGTTAACTGTGCCTCAGTTCCCCCCCATTCAAAAGGATGTGGTTCTTGACTATCGCTTGCAATATTTATTTTAGGAACCTGACTCAAAGTATCTAGGGGTATAATCTCAGTAAAATCTGTGAGATTTAAGTGGGAATAGCCAAGCACATTGGAGCAGAACACAATTACCTCTGAGGAGCTTGAAGCTCTTGTTATGATTGCTCTCACCTGCAAGCAGAACAGCAGCTCTGTGTGTACAGCTGCTAATGGCCTGAAGAACCAGGCCATTCCCTTATTTAATATACAATTTGGCACAGAACATACAGGAATGAGATTTTATTTCTAGTGTTTCTTTTCCAGACAAATTTTAAGTGAACATTAATGATTACTTAAAGCATGTATTTCAATGAGCCAATGCAATATAGGGCAGACCTAGTGCCATGAGAACCTAAAAAAAATTTCTGGTGAGCAGACTAAGGCTGGGAACAAGTGCTTCTATGCACCCAGGACACATCGATCTGCTTCCCTTCAGCTGCTTTCACTGGTCTCTCACTTTACTGCTGGCCATTCCTATCCTCCCTGATCACCGTTCTCCCCAGCTTCTTCCTACTTCCAGTCTACCCAGCATGGCCCAACTCCATCCACCGTTTACATTCCCTATGTGCCTCCTTGTCAAGCTCCAAACCCTGGGCTTTCCTATGACCCTGCTCCCTTTCTCCCTACCTTTTCCTACAGCCTTAGTAGAGAAAAATTTGTTTTGAAGGCAAGACCTACACAACTTCTTCCTAATATCCATTCTGCTGAGGCTTGTTGCACAGGACTCTGTTATTCGGTTTGTTTCCTCACCAGCTCCCCACAACCCAAAAAGTACCATGGTGTTGAGAGGAGGCTTGCCTGTCCATTGCTCGTACAATGCAACCCTTTCACTTACTCCTTGCCTCACTTATTCAAGCTGGGAGTTCCCCCAAGCAGAAGCTATGGGATGTAGTAGGCACTGGGCAGCTCTGCCAAGCCGTGCCGCTGGCAGCCACAATCCCAGCTCAGCCCAGGCTACAGTTCCCAGCAGCATCAGTCCTGCCTCACCACACGGAGGCAGGGGACACCAGCTGAAGTGTGGTGACGGAGGCAGGCCCTTGGACCACCTGTATATTATAAAAACAAAAGGCCAGAGCTCTTCTCCTGAGCAGTCCCCCAAACCCATGGCAACAACATTTGAAACAGCCTGCTGGGGACATCACCTGGCTGGTACCACCCTGCCAGCTGTGTGGGGGGCAACACAGCTGGCAGAGGCCAAAACCTTGCCAGGGAACGTGCCAACAGCCCTGGAGGGCTCAGTAAATTTTATGAGGTTATTAAAACTGCTGGGTATTTTTATCACACCACATTAAATACAGTATCACAAACATTTTTTCTCATACAAAAGTGACACCCCCCCCCAATTAGAATCCTAACTTCCCGCTCCACATGCTGGTTTCATTTGACGTGTGATTTCTAGAATTTTTTTTAAGAGCTTGAAAGATAGGACTCAAGAAGCTAATCCCCAAATCCATATCCCGTAACACATTACCAATTTACCTTAAAAGCGGTACTTCCACTGAAGTACAATTTAATGAAAGTCTGAAATGATTTGTTTTAGAAGGCAATACTGCAATAAATGCAATTACATGAATGACCTTCCTAGAACCTATTTATCTCTGTTTGCTATTTATAAAGATAACTTTCTCCTGTTAAAATAATCTGGTGACAAAGTTGCACAACATACACTTGGAAATAACAAGCTCAATACCAATATTTAACAACTGAAGTGCATACATTAGTATGATCACTTAAATGAGGAAAACAGATATTTGCTGTTACTGAAAGCTGGGAGGTGCATCAAAAAGGGCATTACAAAATGGCAGTTCTTCCACCAACATTTCTGTCAAAGTAATACATAGAATGTACAACAGATGATAAATATGGTAACTATGCTTTTTACTGTCATAGGAGAGTGCTTGCTATCTTTTATACAGGTTAGTAACCAAGAGGCAGAGAAAGCCAACAAAGCACACACAGCAGAGCACAGATGCAGAATCTCTGCTTGAAGCAAACTTTCCACTGAGCGTACGACCATAACACAACTGCTTGCATGATGTGCAGCAGCCAGCTACTTCTATAAACACAGTAAATTATTCAAGTACTTATTTTAACAGCACCATTGTTTTGGAGAAGAACGCTACGCTAACCCAACAAATAGGCAGTTATGTTAGCTGGAGCATTATTTTATAGCAGTACCTTACAGAAGCTGCCTTCCCCCATCACAATAGTACTGCTGCATTAGACTGCGGATAAAGGCTCTTTGTAAGTGATAGATATAATGGTAAGTGCAGCACTAACAACACTGTAATTATTGGTTGAAGTGTGGTATCAAAAGTGGCAAATATTTGCATTCTCCAAACAGGAACTTGGATTGAAACCACAGAAAGTGTCAATAACATAAAAATATACAACTTTGCAGGTCAGAACTCATGGCTCTGGCCCTTGCTTTTGACAAGCACAAAAAACCATGGAAACCCACCAAACTTTTTAGAGATTCAGACGCAGCTAGTTGAGTTAGACACACTAATCTGTGCCTTCCAGAAGGGCTAGGCACTACAACGGTTTCCCAAGCTGCTGTCAAACTGTTGATACAGCAGCCCACGTGGCACCGTA